ATATATATATATATATATATATATATAACTCATCAATTTTGTCTTTTTCTAAACTTTCAGACATAAAGTCTTGATTTTATCAAAATATTTTTCATTTAAATATTAGTGATAAATAAATTAAGTGGTTTTTATCTAAATGCTCAAAAAATAAAATTTAAAGACCAACTATTTATGCATTCATCCTTCTAGGTAAATTCCACTTATATACATGTGATGTGGATCACCAATAGCCGAGATTTATCTTTGCAACCATCTTATCTTATAATCTAGTTGTGCCGGACAGTTGCTTGTCTGCATGTGCATGAGCAGGCTATATACAGGCTACATGCAGACGTCACAAGAAATGACAGGTCAGTTTATCTAAGCGGAAATTTGAAGGACCTGAAGCTGTACAGTGCAATCTAGCAAGCTAGCTAGCAACCATTCATTTCAGCACTGTTCTCTTCTGTAGCATCTACTGTTCTGATGGGATGTTTTTGCACTATATCCATGCTATAAGTAGTAGGAATCCTACATTTACGTAGATGTTTAGTTTTATATTTCCGGCCCTCTATTTATAGGCAGAGGATGTAATATATGAAGTTGTATATTTATTTTTGGTTTAATGGAGTTTTTATGGAGAAGTCAGTTTATCTAAGAGGAAATTTGAAGGACCTGAAGCTGTATAGTGCAATCTAGCAAGCTAGCTAGCAACCATTCATTTCAGCACTGTTCTCTTCTGTAGCATCTACTGTTCTGATGGGATGTTTTTGCACTATATCCATGCTATAAGTAGTAGGAATCCTACATTTACGTAGATGTTTAGTTTTATATTTCCGGCCCTCTATTTATAGGCAGAGGATGTAATATATGAAGTTGTATATTTATTTTTGGTTTAATGGAGTTTTTATGGAGATTCTTTCTGATATTTCTCATGTGTGAGCTTGCGTAAGACTAATTTCTAGCTCGGCCGGCTAGGTTTAATTGGTTTTGAGTAGATAGGATCGGCTCGATTGGTTGAATTGGGTCGCTAATCTAGGAAGGGTCGGTTGTCTAGGTCCGGCTATAAGCCATCCCTCTGAGCGATCCAATCAGACATATTTTTGTTATATACTATAATATGAAAAATTTAACCCTAAGTTCTCTAGTTATCATGCGCGCATCTAAAATTCTTGAAAACAATTCTTTTTTCGTATTCACAACAAGAAAGTCGAAGCCGACCATGCCTTACAACTAAATATTCATATTTACATGCATAATGGTCATAATTTTAACATCATAGAAAAAAATATCACTTCTTTCTTAAAAGTGAAATACAACAATGTAACTATCCAAAAAAAATTAGGAGTTAGATATGTAAAACAGGGCACATTGGGTATGCGGTGTGCGGTGTGCGGTCGTGCCAAGTCATGCGTTCTACCGATCGAATGCCAGTGAGCCAGTCCGGACGCGGACTCAAGCGAGTCGTACTCTCTTTGACTATTTTGACTTTTTGAAAAATAAGAAACTAGAGTGAATGAGTTG